ACGAGGTAATCTGTCATAGTAAGAAACCACCTAGACCATTGCCTTTTTATTATGCTTATATTATTAAGGTAATATCTGGGGTTGGGGTTATCATAAATAAATATTTTAGAGGTGATTATTGTTTCTAATCGTGTCATTAATTCTCTAATTAAAATAAAGTAAATGCACTTTTTAGTTATTGACATCCTAGTGGGCAACTAAAACTACAGGTATTTCGCACCTCTTTCCATAATTAATTAATTGCTTAATCACATTCTTCCGGTCTATCTTCGTGTACTGGGAAATTTGTGAATTTGATACTCGTGATATCTGATTAAACATATTTAATCGAGTGTGAATATTTTTTCTATTTACTTTTACTTGTTGTACTTTTTCCTAAAATATATTTTCATTTTACTTATCACTTTTGATATATCAAGAAAAGAGAATTATATTTTTCCATGTTTACCTTCATCATTAAATATTCTTTGTCAAATCATTTTTCAAGATTTAATACTAAACATCATTTAATAAAGATAGTTTGGTAAAAAACCTATATCAATAATTATTTTCTTAATGAGTGTACCAAATCAAAACGTGATTAGTATAAGTGAACGGAGAAAGCATTTGATTCTCCTATTTCTAAATCTCCAAAATTTGATGAATTATCAATGATGATGAAAAAATTTAATTATTTATTTATCAGGTTAAATTTGTTCTATGACCACGAAATGGGAGTAAAAGTAATAGTATATATAAATACAATATATTTTCTACGTAAAGGGACTAAAAACACATTTACTTAGTGAAATATTACTAGGAGACCAAAATAAAAATATATCAATAATTGAGAGCTCGAAAGTGAAATTATTTTATAAAATTAATTAATCATAATCATTGAGCTCCCTCTGCAGATGTTAATCCTAATAAGATTGCACTTTGTTCCATATGGTACAATTAATTTTGAGAATTTTTTTTTCAAATAGTTACTCAATTAATAGTTATTATCTCAAAAAATATATTTTTTTATTTAAAAAAATAACTTTCTCAAAAAATATTTGACATATTTTTCCCTATAAATTCAAATACGTTTATCACTGTCTTGTAAAATTAACAATTTTTAAATATTTTAATTCTTTATCATCTCTTTAATCACATTTAGTGACATACGTATAATCATATAAAATAGGATTATCTAAAAGATGGATTAAATTAGATTATTTAGGAAACAGAGAAGAAATTTCTTGGTGATCCTTGCTTTATGGGTGCATCTAAAAGAGTCATACTAGGAAACATGAAAAATTGTAATGGGCGGTTGGTTGTAGGGACGGAATTAGCTCATAAATTATTAATTTACATAAATTTAATAATTTATCATCAGATATATTAAGAAATTTATCAAATATTTATAAATATATAATTATAAATTCAATCATTATTATATATATAAATTTAGAATCATCACAAAAATTCATACATTTTAAATCTTGAATTTGCTTCTATCTGCTTCGTAAGCAAAAAGTCCTTTTGGGGCTTATAATAATGTATTATTGCACATGCAAGACAGAGGGACCATATAAACTATATATGTCTTAAAAACACCACGAATGCACTTTGTAAGGTTATATATGAACTAGTTTCAAGGATTGATGATGAATCTTATGGATGGATTTAAATAATTCAATTATTGTTAGTACTAATTAATTAATTAAGCTCCCTTAAGCATTAATGCACTTTTAGTTAAAAGAATGGGGATCTAAGTGTCAGTTTTTGTTTATTGGAGGGTTACAAAAAAACAAGAATGTTGACAAATCAATAAGCACCACAAATACTCTGTTAGAAAAGCCAACTCACTTTTCAGTTTCTCTCATTTGAAGAGATGCTTTTTTTTTTCTTTTTTTTATTTGTTGAGTGCGGAATCAGAATTTTCATTAAGGAGACTTAAATACGAAGAAGTGAGCACATAAAAAAGTTGAATAGAGTTTAACGTCTACTATATATAGATAATCTTAAATCGAAGTAAATATATGATAAAATAAAAAAGAATTCAATATTTACTATATAAATATAATTTTGATCATATTTACACATTTTTACCGAAAAAGATTTGGATGAAGCTATGAATTCTTACTAGCTCTACTCTTATACTCGGTTCTCATATATATATATCCAACAATAGCATAATCAATATAATTTTACAAATAGAATTTGAACAAAGTAAATAATAACTAGATATAATCTATTTTACTTTTATCTTTGTGAAATAAAATAATTATTTTTGATAAATCCTCGACTTATATTTTCGAACATATTTCAAAGGATGAGGTCCCATACAGGGGACCACAAATTAAACCACCATTAAAAGAGGCGTGGACTACTTGATGATAATAAATTTATGTTGCAAAAACATGAACGTTTCTTAAAATAATATGAAACTTACATAAAGTGAACTTGACCAACAATAGCAAAATTTATTGGTTGATTTCATAAATGATGATCACTTTAATTTTTATTTTATTATATTAAATTTACTTTTCGTAACATAAAAATTTATTAATTTGTTCGAGTATCACAAAAAGTTACTAATATATTTTTGTAACAAAAATATCATCCAACTTGTACTGTAAAATCACGCCAAGTTACCCAAACATTTTTTTTTGGAATCAAAAGATCATTCATTTTTTTCTAAATATTATATAAAATATTTTATTTTATTTTCTCCTAATGACTTTTTAAAATATTTAGATAAAATTAAAGGATGTTTCACTTAAAAAAATAGTTTAGTGACCTTTGTAGTACTTAGGTAAAGAATCTTAGAATTGTTATAAAAAAATAATTTAGTAATTTTAATGCAATTGAATAAAATTGAGTAACAATCTATAAAATTAACTCGAATGTTTTTTTTAATAAATAATCAAAGAGAATTTGTTTGCTTGTTTCTATGCATAATATAGTCAATCGGAAATTGTTGTCCTTGTCCCAAGCACTAAATTTTGATGAAATTAAAATGGAATATTGCCACACTGAATCAGTAAAGTAGGTTAAATATTGGCTAATTAAGTAATTATAATGAAGCACTTTAAAATGTTGGGTCAACATTTTGAGTTTACGAGTTTTAAATTTAAAACAAATAAAAATATAAGACTTTTAATAAATTAGTTTTATATATTAAATATACCTTTTAATACAAATACGTTATCTATAAGCTTTCACAAATAATATAAGTCTCATATTTTTAAGAGAAATATATAAAATTAAGACATGAAAATCATTGACTAGAGAATATATAATGTTTTGTTATATAGTTTTAGAAGGAATATTCAAATAATATCCACCCCACCCCTATGTTTCAATTAGTATGTAACACTATAACTTGCTATATATTTGAGCTGCTCTTAATTGTCATATTTGTTTGATTAATTGAGTTTTTATTATTTTTGTTAAAAGAAATTTGAGAGTCAATAGTGCTAATTGGTCAATTTTATATATGCTTGGTTATATGGTTCATTCGGGAGACAGATTGAGCCTCAAGAAGTAGTAAATGGTCTTATTAATACACAAATGTATAATTTTTCAGGAATTTCAATTGCGCTCATTTGCATAGAAATTGTAAGCAAGCTTACGCTTTGAGTGTATGTTAGACTCGTATAGACAGTCTAATTAGGTGCTTGAAGTATAAGTATTATAGAATAAAGCTCCAACGTGAGCCTCATAATATTTTACAAATGTGAAAGCGAGTCTTGAATTAATTCTTCAAAAAGTCTTTTAAAGCTCTAGTCCTACCTATTTTTTCTTTAAAAAATTATTCTAAATAGATTAGCTTTGTGAATAAACTAAGTACGATAAATAGGGTTGTACAAATTTTGGGTCAAATCGATAATCTAAATTTATAATAAGGTTGTTGGAGGCTCAGATTATTGATTTGTCAGTTTTATAATCGTTCATGCTCCTATAATTATTGGGTTATTTGTTTGAATCTTGTTTTGACTATCAATTCTTAACCGTTTAACCCAAAATTCTAATGAGAAGTAAACTTATCTCTTATTCTTACATATATTTTATCGGAAACATTTTAAAAATATTTATCATGAAAATGTTATTAATTTTGTATCCATATAATTTCCTGTTTTTAATAAATCTTTCTTCAATAAACTTACATGGAAATGATTAATACAACCTTATTTATTAATAAACCCATAATCAAACTATTTATAATTGATAATTGATAATCCAATACTTTTAATTTATTAATTCGTTATCGATTTTGCATATTATAAACACGATAACCAATACCATTTATATTTGAGCCGTACCGACCAATACCCTAATGTCAAATTTGTTGGAAATATAAATAATACTAATCTAAAAATGAAGTAGAAAACTTCAAATTGTACAAGCAACCACTACACACCAACCCCCAATTAATAACTTATCAATCCTCCTTTTTTTTTTTTTTTTTCTTTTAATCATGTCTACGTTATTTGTATTAAATTTTTATATAAAATTGAAGGTCGTACTCTCTATCAAGAATTTTTTTATAGTTTGAATTTAAACTCGAGACTTTTAATTAAGAGAAGAATAATCTCATTCATTGCATCACATTCTGTTATTATTTATTGAATTTACATTAGAATTTTGATTACATTTGAATCACACAATGCAAGACTCATTTGAAAGTGACGCTTACAACTTAATTTTCTCCATACTAATGCTCACATCCAAAATATCTAATTAATGATAGAGCAATTTCATCACTGCACCACCATCAACGATCTTATCAATCCTCTTTCAGTTTTTACCATCCCGACTTTTCATCTACCCCACCCCGAACCCCACCAAAATCAGTCCAAAAAAGAACCGTCACCGTTTTGAGTAACGGTGACAACTGTTGTTGTTCCAGATGAACGGTGATGATTCTTGAATCATCATTCATTTACGGTGTTATCTAGTACAGGGTATTTCTGTTTACTTCACTTTGTCACCAGCACCAAATACCAAATTGCTTTTGTTTATGGTGTCCCCTTTTTTTCCTTTCTCTATATTTGTGTGACTTTTCTTCTTCATTTTACTCATGTAAGTTAAGTGTTTGTGTAAATTCCTCAAAGAGATAGTAGAAAAAAAATTGAAGGATGAGGATGGTAAGAGCCATTGATTCTTCAGAATGTCCTAGTATTTGTGGGTTCTTGGTTGTTGAAGCTTATCCTAAAAGGTACTCTTCCAAGATCCCTTCTGATTTAGTCCTTTTCTTGGGTCTTGGATTCATAGATTGGTAATACTATACATTGAAAAAGATACACAAATTATATTATATAGTTCTGTTCTGTTTATTAGAGGTGAAAAAAAGGGTCATTTGGGGGAAATAAAGATTATGGGGTTTGCAAGATTTACTCAGTTTCTCTTACCTGTCTTTGGAGGGTTTAATGAGATTCTTGGGTTAGGGTTGAATATAGTCTTCATCTAGTTTTTCTTTTGACTTTTATGGTATTTTTAACTATTTTGTTGTTTGGGTTTTTGAGGGTTTGTAGTTATGTGATGAATAAGTAAAAAGGATTTGATGGTGGTGTAAATGTTGTTGTTGTTGGGATTAGTATGATGGATGTGTTCCTTGTAAAGATTGAATTTTTTTCAAGAAAGTTCATTTGGGTACTTAAGAATTGGAGCTAGGATTAGTAATAAGAGAGTCCCTATTTTCAAGGGAAAAATTTGTGAAATGGTAGATACTCTTCTTACAACTCTGTCAATGGAGAATCATCATCCTTCAACCCTTTTGTCCATGGATTCCAGTGCTTCTTCTTCACATGATGAATTAGACCTTGAGATGAATCGCCAAGTTGTCATAACTCGTCCCCCTGATATTAATTTGCCCTTATCAGCTGACCGTAGCTCGCCTACTCAGCCGTGGAATGATATTCTTGATGTTGGGTTAGGGACACAGATCTATGAAACTGAAACTTTCCTTAGTGTGCCTAAAGTAGGGAGGAAATGTGCAAAACGTGTAGATAGCATCTGGGGTGCTTGGTTTTTCTTTAGTTTCTATTTTAAGCCTGTTTTAAATGAGAAATCTAAGGCTAAGATGATCCGGGATAGTAATGGAATTTCCGGGTTTGATAAAAGTGATCTCCAGCTTGATGTTTTCATGGTTCAACATGATATGGAGAATATGTACATGTGGGTATTCAAGGATAGACCTGAGAATGCATTGGGTAAGATGCAGCTACGGAGTTACATGAATGGGCATTCTCGACAAGGAGAACGTCCATTTCCGTTTAGCGCTGATAGGGGTTTCATTCGATCTCATAGGATGCAAAGGAAGCATTACAGAGGCCTATCAAATCCTCAGTGTGTTCATGGGATTGAGATTGTGTCGTCTCCCAATCTCATGGTTCTTGATGAAGAGGAGCGCAAAAGATGGAAGGAACTCACTGGTAGGGATGCGAACTTCACTATCCCACAGGAAGCTAGTGATTTCAGTACATGGAGAAATCTCCCCAACACCGAATTTGAGCTTGAGAGGCCGCCTCCTCCAATAAAGAGTAACCCACATTCCAACTCAAAGAAACTGCTTAATGGTTCTGGACTTAATTTGTCAACTCAGCCGTCCAATCATAGCAATGGAGACGCAATGGATCTACTACCTGTCAACGGCAAAAGGAAAAAGGACTTCTTCTCAAATGGAACTGAAGAAGAGTGTTATCTGCAAGTGAATCCTCCTTCCTATCAAATTCCAGACCTTGAAATTCACCCAAACGAACCAAATTGGTTAAATGAATTTAGTGGGGTGATGAGGGATGCTTATGGCCCTGTTACAGCTGCGAAAAGTATCTATGAAGATGAAGAAGGTTATTTGATCGTAATCAGCTTGCCATTTGTAGATCTTCAAAGAGTGAAAGTTTCATGGCGGAACACACCCACACATGGGATAATCAAGGTGTCTTGTTTGAGCACATCTCGGATCCCGTTCATCAAGAGACAGAATAGGACTTTCAAGCTTCAAGTTTCATCCTCAGAACACTGCCTTCCAGGAGAGTTCGTCCGAGAAATTCCTCTTCCCGCTAGAATTCCTGAAGATGCTAAACTTGAAGCATATTATGATGAATCAGGAACGGTGCTTGAGATATTGGTGCCAAAAGTTCGCGATGGTCCAGAAGAAGAACATGAAGTTCGGGTTTGTCTCCGTCCTCACCTTGTTGGGAATGACCTGATGTTGACCTAGACGCGTACTGGGAGAAATGCATAGGTGGTTGTTACGGCTGGTGCTTCGTTCAGCACTGACTTTGTATTATCTGTAGTGTGGTTTTAACGAAACACACTAAATGTTGTGGTTGGCAGTTGTTATCTTGACTAGTTTTTATTGTAACAGTTTGCTATGAAATTTCACCATTTGGTTTATTAGTATAGCCACTAATATTGTGTTCATCTATTAAATTCATAGCTTTTCATAGCAATTCGGTAACTTAACAAAAAGAAGTATCTGGTTTTATGACTTCTTTTTATTGTGGGAGTTCGGTTTTTGGGCTTGCTTGCTTCTATAATGTTGCATTGTGGTGGGATGGATAAGATCCTTCTACCCTTAAATAGTGTTAGTCTATAGAGAGTGAAAAAACGAATTGATTGGCTATTGAGTGCAACTTGATAATAGACAGCTATGAATAGTTTGTGTGCTCTATATGAATCTATTGTACCATAAAACTTTCTAAATAAAACCAAGGCCACAGAAACAGAAAGGTATAAGACAGCCACAGGACATCTATCCTTGAGGCATACGCATGATATTTTCACTTGTTGTATTTATTCTTTACCATCAATTTATCAAGAAGGCATTTTTTATGGTCTTGTTCATACCACAACTAAAGAACCTCACTTGATAGCATGACAAAACACTAGTTTCTTCCATCTATCCAAACTTAGGTAGACAGAGTTATTCGACATTTATGTTGATGGAGTTAGTTGAGGCCGAACACTACTATTATTAAAGGAAAAAAAACCACTTGAAAACTTTAGCAGACACTATGTTGTGACTTGTGTGTGTTATCAGTTATGGACCACAAGTTCACATCGTGAAAGTCTTGGAAAATAATTTAGAGAATTAATATAGTGGACAAATAAAAATAAACAGAGACGGTATAGTTTTTAGTAGTTGTTTCATTTCTTATCCTTCCTTGCAAATTGCTAATGGGAAGTACGAGGTTACATTTGTTGTGGTCAAGATTGGTGGTGCTTAATCCCTAGTTTTGTTTTAAATCTACCAACTAAAGTTTTCATTGTAGTGTTACTATCATTTCTTAATTCCATGATTGTTGATTTTTTTATTTTTTTTGTGAGTTGTCTCCTTTTTTGTCTGGATGCTCAAGAAGACTATTTTGAGTAAACTACTTCCTCTCAACTCTCAACCACTGACTTAACAAATTTAGTCACTTTCTTAAGTTCCTTAATTGGCTTGGGGCATTTTTTGGGCTCCTTCATGTAAGTAATCTCTCTTGGGACACACTACAAGAAGATGGACTTTATCTTAAGTTTTAGGACCACAAATCCACATCATGAGAGCCAATAACTCCGCGCCACATATAGGTGGACCTGATAAAGATACCTAGCGATCAAAAACCTAGTTTTCGATAAGTCTCTAAGAGTTGATTGAGACTACAATTATTATTATTTTCTAACTAATTGTTCTTTGTCTTGGATATACCTAATGGGGATACCTTCTTTTATTATAATTTCATGTTATGACATTTGTTATGCCAATTGGCATAAGGTGGCTAGGTCAAGCTACTGGAAATTAGCTATTGCTGAAGTCGAAGAGGTGGAGAAACCTTAAACATTAACCTGTCCTTTCAGATTTGAGGTTGCTATTTTCTCAAATGTGACCTTGTCCTTGATAGTACATACATCATTGAACCAAATCCACATCGTCTTGTACTGATTATTAGTACACAAACAGATAATATAAACAAATTTACAATACCATAGTCAAATCCGTTTATGCAATTCTGAATTTTCACTTCAGACAACTCAATTTGGTTATTGAGTTTTTGACCAATATTATCCCTATTGTTCACATCAACAGCTAAGTTTCTCAAACTTATCTAAAAACATCCAACTGTTAAATATAGATGGAAAAACTAACAGAGGGATGTTTCTGGTTGAGTTTGAGAAACTTGAGGGCTGTGAAGCAGCCATGGTAAAAGAGCAATATTTTGGGAATTCGAAATACTACTATGACATAAAAGATTATACTTCATTGCAGAAAGAAAAAGCTATTCATGAAGTTTCTGCTATAAACCAACTACTATGCAGAATCTTTGAAACAAAAATTGCAAGTATCTAACATTATGAAATAAAAAACAATATAGGAAGCACCAACTTAGTCCACCTCCTCAATCTTGGGACCAGCACCACCGCCACTAGGAGCAGGACCTTCGTCATCCATGTCACCACCTGCCCCCTGGTACATTTTTGCAATGATTGGGTTGCAGAGACTCTCTAGCTCTTTCATTTTGTCCTCAAACTCGTCAGCCTCAGCAAGCTGGTTACCATCGAGCCACTGGATGGCTTGCTCAATAGCATCGTCAATCTTAGTCTTGTCATCAGCGGACAGTTTGGATGCAATCTTCTCATCCTTTATTGTGTTCCTCATATTGTACGCATAATTCTCCAAAGCATTCTTTGCCTCAACCTTCTTCTTGTGCTCCTCATCCTCAGATTTGTATTTCTCTGCTTCCTGAACCATCTTTTCGATCTCCTCCTTTGAGAGTCTGCCCTTGTCATTGGTGATGGTAATCTTGTTCTTCTGTCCGGTGGTCTTATCCTCAGCAGAGACATTTAAGATACCATTCGCATCAATGTCAAAGCCCACTGTGATTTGAGGAACTCCCCTGGGGGCAGGAGGGATACCAGAAAGCTCAAATTTGCCAAGCAAGTTGTTGTCCCTGGTCCTTGTTCTCTCACCTTCATACACTTGAATCAACACACCAGGCTGGTTGTCAGAGTAGGTTGAGAAGACCTGCTCCTTCTTGGTTGGGATAGTGGTGTTTCTGGGAATCAACACAGTCATGACACCACCAGCTGTTTCCAGACCAAGGGACAGAGGGGTAACATCCAACAGCAAAAGGTCCTGCACCTTCTCATTACCCTCACCACTCAAAATTGCAGCTTGCACTGCAGCACCATAAGCAACAGCCTCATCAGGGTTAATGCTCTTGCAGAGCTCCTTCCCATTGAAGAAGTCCTGCAAAAGTTGTTGAACCTTTGGGATTCTAGTGGAGCCACCAACCAAAACGACGTCATGAACTGTGCTCTTGTCCATCTTAGCATCCCTCAAACACTTCTCAACTGGTTCCATACACTTTCTAAACAGATCCATGTTAAGCTCTTCAAATCTAGCACGTGTGATGGTGGAGTAAAAATCAATACCCTCGTACAGAGAGTCAATTTCAATGGTGGTCTGAGCAGTGGATGAAAGTGTCCTCTTTGCCCTCTCACATGCAGTTCTCAACCTCCTGAGTGCCCTAGGATTACCACTGATATCCTTTTTGTTCTTCCTTTTAAATTCCTGAACAAAATGATTTACCATCCTGTTGTCAAAGTCCTCACCTCCAAGATGAGTATCTCCAGCAGTAGCTTTCACCTCAAAGATACCTTCCTCAATTGTGAGTAGAGAGACATCAAATGTACCACCACCAAGATCAAAGATGAGCACATTCTTTTCACCAACACTGGTTGCCTTCTTATCAAGACCATAAGCAATAGCAGCTGCTGTAGGTTCATTGATAATACGCATCACATTTAGGCCGGAAATAACACCAGCATCCTTGGTGGCCTGACGTTGAGAGTCATTAAAGTAGGCAGGAACAGTAACCACAGCATTCTTAACAGTTGATCCAAGGAAAGCTTCAGCGATCTCTTTCATCTTGATGAGCACCATAGATGAGATCTCCTCAGCAGAAAACTGCTTCTCCTCACCCTTGTAGTTGACAACAATCATGGGCTTATCGCCAGGACCAGGAATGACCTTGAATGGCCATAACTTCATGTCACTCTGCACGGAAGCATCACTAAATCTCCTACCAATCAACCTTTTAGCATCTGCACGGTGAACAAATTTAGGTCAACAATTAAAGAATGTTGTTTTCAAGAAACTGAATAAACAAACTAGATAATTATGTGCTTTGTTCTCCAAACAGCCATAAAAACTTCAACGGAATTTCACATAAATGTATTACATTAAAATGCTTGTAATCTAACCAAAAATCAATCTTTTATTCATAAGAATACCATCACTAAATAACCAAGTTCTATCTGCTCATCAGGTATCTAATAAACAAAACGATCAAAAAAGAAAATTAATTTGTCATAGATTCAGCTTTTTATCTGAAAAATAACGAAATTTCAAAATGGCATGAGAAGGCAGAATATACACTACTTCATCTTCAAATTAAACAAGCCAAGTTAACCAAGTATGTTAAGCTTATATTATATCCTGATTTACATCTTAACAAGTCTGGCAGATTTAACAAACACAATATGAACTCAGTTTTCCCCAAAATACTGCTCTCTCTCTATTACAATTTGAATTTTATAACTCCCTTTAAAAAATGTCATGACATAAAATCTTTAGTTTTAGACCCATGATTCAAATGTCTTATTTATTTCTTAAACTCCAAGCCAAATCAAAATCATAAATTGAACAAAGGGAGTAACTTTTTGGTGGGTAAAGGTGAAGTCACTTGATAAATAGCTGCTGCTTGCCTAACCCAAGCGAATAAAAAAAAAGCTTACGTTTTAGACGTCCAAATAAAACAATTACTTCCATCTATTACCACTTCTGCTAGTGCTTCTTCTTCAAAGATGGTAGATAATCAAACATATGTTCATGATAAACAATCCAAGTAGTCCAAATTATAGATCTAGTTTTACATCTAATCTAACTTCACCAATTCAAAGACGCCGTACTGAACTGAAGTAACAACAGATCAACATAGAGAATTCAAATAAAAATTATAGTTCTCATGACTAAATCACTTCAAATCAACATATCGAAATCAAATCTCGTGGATATATCAAGTACAATAAAAATACACAAAAACAAATAAAATCGCACATAACATATGATCAGAATTCTGATTTTAGAACCTCAAGCAAGAGATCTTACCGAAAACTGTGTTGATAGGGTTCATTGCAACTTGATTTTTGGCAGCATCACCAATGAGACGCTCAGAATCAGTGAAACCAACGTAGGACGGCGTCGTTCTGTTACCTTGATCATTGGCAATGATTTCAACACGATCGTGTTGCCATACACCGACGCATGAGTATGTAGTACCAAGATCAATTCCGATCGCCGGTCCTTCTCCCTTGCCGGCCATATCTTTTCGTTTAGAGTCGGCTAGTTTTTGGGGAAGAGGAGCTGATTGAAGCGACGAAGAACTAGGGTTTTTCGAGAGAGAACGTAGGTGGTAAAGATGAAGGTTTTATAGTGGGAGCTTAAAGTAGATTTGTATTCTGGAATGTTCGGAACAAAATGAGTATGTCGACTACCGTTAGACCTCTAAACTGAATTTTTTATTTTTTTATTGTTAAAATTAAATCCAAATCAAAATAATACAATTTTAAAATTTATTACTCCATTAAAAATATTATTCTCCAAATAGAATTTCAAGACATAATACTTATATCTAGGGGTGTGCAAAAACCGAACCGAAAAAAGTGTTATTGGGATAACGGTTATTTAATGGTTTTACAAAAAAAAATTATTGGGTTATCGGTTCGTTATTGGTTTTTAATATTAGGTTATTGGGTTAACTGATAACCCATTAAGAATATAATAATTTATTATTTTAATTTTTAGTTATACATATATATAATATATTAAAAAAATATTAATATAATTAGTAGTATATTAGACTAAATATATAAAACCCTACGCAATAATTAACACTACTTAACAATTAACTCTCCTCTCTACTTTTAGTTATTTAACCTTTAGGTTTTACTTTTTAGTATTACTTATTTACTTTAGTTAGTTTATAATTGACTAATATTAGGTTTTGCACGATTGTAAATATCTGCAATTTGATTAACATTAGGAATTCAAATTGTGTGTGTTTTTTTTAAATAACGTAAGAACTTCATTTAGTTACCATAAGCATGGCCTCATTTGCTACTGTTTTGACTTTTGTCTATGATTTGGTTTTATTTGATTCTCTTTATTGCATAAAGGGGACCTCGTTTTATATATATTATGGTGATCGAAAATTAACCAAGTCTTTGTTGTGATGACCAAAATACAACAAGTTGGTCCTTGTTGTCCCGTTTGGAATGATTATTTCGATGTATGCGTATCGCATCAAATTATTGGATAAGTCATATATTTGTTTTGAAAGCATTTTCTTATTGGTTAAACCGAAAACCGAACCGTTAAAGACCTAAAACCAATAAACCGAAAACCGATAACAAATATCTTATTGGTTTGGTTATCGGTTTAGCATATTTAAAAACCGAAAACTGATAAACCGAACCGATAATACTTATAACCGAACCGAACCGACTGATACACACCCCTACTTATATCAATAATTGATTTTTTAATGGATGTGTCGAGTCAAACAATGACAAATAAAAGTGAACGGAGAGAGTAATTTGTTACTCTATTTTGATTTTGGAAGTCTAATTTTAAATTTGTAATAAAATTGAACATTCAAATAAAATATTAATGTTAAATTATCTTAATATGTATTTTCCAACATCTACATGTTCATGGTTTGACAAAAAATCGAATTCGAATTAAAAATCAAATTAGATTGATTTGTTTGTGTGTGTATTTAATTATATTTTTATTTAAAAAATGATATTATTGGTTTTATTAAAACAAATCGAAGAAAGAATCGAAGCAGCCGAAAAAATTATATACATAAATTTTTATAATTATATATTCAATAAATCCATATTTTGTATATTATATATTTGATTTGATCTAATTTTAATAATTAAATTTATTTTATTTTATAAAAGTTTGATCCAATTTTCCAATTTCACCTTCTTTTTAATTAATATAAAGAACTACTTAAGAAACTATATTTTCTAAATCACATTATTAAAAAAAATATCATTTATTTTAAAATGCGGAGTCAAATATGTATTAATTGAGTATATGCATAAGTTGAAAACATCCCATACTTTGTGGAAATAAAACATGAAAAGTCGTTTCATTGAAAAGTACGCCAATTTACATTTCACTAGTAGGCGCCTGCCTCTATTCGGTCCAATGAAAAGTTGGGGTAAACATTTTGTTTTTATTTGTCAAATATTAACACGGGAGCTTAATATATTTCATCCATCTAAACGTAATGAGTAATTTATAGTAGTAATTGTTATCATAAGGGATTGCAACGTAGCGGTGCGGGATGAGGGACAAAGCTTAACCTGCAAAATATTTAAGGAATTCACCTCGCCCCGTATAGTATTTTTCTATAATATCACCCTATCACCTCGCTCCGCCCAGCCCGTTCCTGCAAAATTCTTGTCTGATCTTTAATTTTTTTGTTTGATCACACAATCAAGAATATATACACATCACAGTATGTAACTTGGCATCCAAACTTCAAATAAAGAAACTATATTTTAATTTATTGTTATCCTTGATTTTTTTTCTTTTAAATAAATTTTGATATATTAATTGTATCCAATTTCCATAATTCAACTGTGTGAGCAATACATCACTGGAAATCACTGGAATTGACAGCAATAATCTTAATTTTTCACTTGACCGCTAAATCAAGAAAAAATAAACAATCAGTTAATCACAGTATAACCAAAACAAATACTTCAAATTTCAGATTGAATATATTTTTCGATTGATCTATCAATACTAATAAACTTCAAATATAGACGAGAAAACTTCTATGTTATTTGAGATTTTTATCAAACAAGAAGAATGAAATACTCCTTTCTTTTTCAATCGCTCCGCGAAGACAAACGGTCAGAAAGGTTCTCGAGATTCTCAATTGCTCTTTTTAGTGGGGAGGAATAGTGCAGGAAGGGGGCACTAGAGCACAAGAAGGGAGGAGACCCACACCCGCATAATTTTGAAAAACAAAGGTTATGACCCCACCCCGCACGCTTAGAGACTGCCCCGCATAGTCTTAAATCCGCCTATACTGCACCACTCCATTGTCATCCCTACTTATCATATATATATATGATAACAAATGCACAATGATCATACATGGCATACTAAATAAAACTTATGAGATTTGCTTAGGCTGTTGGTAATTATCTCGAGGCCAACTTAAGTAACTCAGGATTCAAACAGAAATTTTATCTAGCGACCCATACAGATATAATGTTACCATACTAATATTTGATTTTGTTTTGCATATTATCACCACGTATACAAATGGAACTAAATGAGAAGTGCATTCAAAGTTTCTAGAGCTCATCGTAAGGCTTGTTGGAAATGAATCTTTTTCTCGAAGGATCAGGAAAAATTGGGTCCGGACCTCTCACCAACTTGAAATTTCTGCAGACACCAATTTCACATAGTAGCTTCCACATTGGTTAGAACTATACCTATGGCAGCAGAAAAGATGACTAGGACCTGTCCAGCAGCTGCAAAAGTTACAATGACACCTGAAATAGGTTTCAGTGTTTCACTTACCTTGCATCGGGGCGTTCAACCAGACTCGGTAGCTCTGGGATATAATCAAAAGATAAACCAACACCAACCATGATTTCAGAACTACTCTAGCAATCGATTTGTGAAAGTAAGGAATTTCACCGCGATTAGTTTTACATAAAGCTAAACACAAGGGAAAGCTACAAGGCAAGTGTTCTACACCATCAAATGTGAAGAAAATGTGGCAATAATACCAAGCACACTCTTAACATACAAGTTTTAAGATTTTCCAGCAGTACATAGGCTCTGCACCTTTCAGTCTTTTCCCCAGAATCCGTATCAGACTTCAAGAATCGTTTAATTCATGAAAAGAATAACCTTTGATCCTGTGGATGCTTGCACATGTTACTACACAAGTATCTCATCAAGCATGTCTGAATGTTAGTTTGTCTGCATGGCTTCTGCATGATACTTCTCCAATTCAGCATCAAGATCTTCTGCAGAAACGTTCTCACCACGACCTCTGCCCCTTCCACCATCCTTTCTCATGCTTCCTCTACCACCACCTCGAGGACGTCTAAATCCACCACCTCTTTGTTGACTGTCAAATTATTTCAAGATAAAGTTACAAATGTTATTCACGATGAGGACATAATATCCACACATGAGAATAGCTGAAACTGTAGAAAGAAGACCAAAAGTAATATCCTTATCAAACTAAAACAAGCTTCACTGATATGGTGTACATCCACCAGTTGCCACATGTCTGGAAAATACCATCATTTTAATTCTAAACAACAGGATGAGAAAACTTTGCCACATCAAATTTTCTTTACACATTAATACCAACAACTACACTTATGTGCCAAACAACTTGAGGTTTGTTAAATGGAACCTCATCAACCATGTTACTTCATTTAAATTTTAATCTCATCTAGTGCCAATATAAATTTTTCATCTCACTTTGAGTAAATCAACACACCAAATTACATCAAAACATTATGAGTGCAATGACACTTGAACTTCCCTCATTCTTCAAAAAACACAATTTTTTAGTACGAAACATATAATACATAAAAGCTTGAATGCTCTTTTACCAACTATAGGTATGGACATTTCCCAACACTAGGACACTCTTCTAACTGTTTACTTTGTGAAGATTGTATCTCATTGTTTGACCATATATCAGGTAGCAACTTTTTATTTGTTATGGTATTAAGTCAACTTAGAGTTTCAAAATTGTAAGAAGTTTCAAGAAGCATCCAAGATGAAGGGAAACAGACACTCTAGTAACATTATTTGAATGTGATCTATATGATATAAAATAATGTCTACTGAAACAAAAAACATGCATGAGCTTATCCTGAATAAAGAAAAGAGGGAGGTAGAATATAAGGATATCTCAGACTGTCCTTGCGTACTAAGCAGCATCCATTTTTAACATAATTCATTAGAAGTCATCGTGATGAATTACATGCCGGTAGACACAGAACGCAAACAATACCAGATATTTAAGATAAGAAAATTGAAGGATCCCAGAAAGAGCGATTATATAAAATTGTCTGCAGTAAAAGAAATACCGCGAACTTCACACAATCTTTTTCTTACAGTAAAAGATAATTTATGGCTTGAGAAGGAAGTTCCTCCGAACAAGGAGACAACTATTTGTCAAATGGAGAACATTATCAGACAGTAAAAGGAAGGAGGATAGGGATCAGAAACCCGAGAAAGCACAATCATTGCCAACTTATGTAATGGTTAAGGAGGGTCAACCACCGTGGAACAAAATCATCCAGGAAAAATATGACAACGGAGATCCTTGGACAACAAAATCTACCACCTCTCGTTATGTGGTATGCCTGTGGAAGTTCATCAGTAACATGTAGCCCAATCTCAAAACCAGAGTTGATATTAAAGTTGGGAATAGGATGAAAACTTCTTTTTGTGGAGACAATTGGTTGGGTAATGATTCTCTAAAGTAGTTATATCCAGATATTTTCAATCCAAACAACCAAAAAGAGGCAATCATTGGTGATGTTTGGTTGAACCAAGGCTGCTGTTGTACCTTCAGAAGATTGTAGAATGAGAGACAGATTGATGAGATTTTACCATACTCGGGAATAATTCAAGAGGGCAAACAGTTCTAAAAATAGATTATGGTGGCAGGGGCATAGTAATGGAAAATTCACTATTACAACAACATACAAGGTTTTGAATCAAGCAAGCAATCAGCTTAGTTGTTGGCCCTGGAAACAATAAGGTAGCCTGTTTTATATGGCTAGTAGCAAAAGAAGCAATTTTAACTTGGGGCAATCTAATGAAAAGGGGAATTCAACTATGTTCTAGATGTCACCTATATGGGAAGGAATCAGAGACAATCAACCATCTCTTTTGCACTATGAAGTTGCTGTTTGCTTACGGAGGATATTCATTAATTTGAGGGGAATCATTTGGGTTATGCCAAGGAAAATTACTCAAGTCTTAGATTGCTGTAGCATTGAGTGAAGACAGTCAAGCCAGAAGGAGATGCAAAATTGTACCCATCTAGTATATGGGGGACAAGTTGGTAAGAGACGAACTCAAGGTACAGAAAGAGATGCAAAATTGTACCCCTCTAGTATCTGGGGACAAGTGGGAGAGAGGAACTCAAGATATTTTGAAAATTTATACAGCTTTCACCAAAAAAATCAAGACGAAATGTCTTTTTGTTTTACTTATGGTGTAAACATAGAATCATTTTTTGATGTTCTAGAAGCCTTGTGAGATGAACTGCGGTTGGCTGCTTCTTTGTTTTAACACACTATAGTTATGGTTGTTGCACAGGCGTTGTGCAACTGATATATATACACACAAATATGTTACAATCTCAAAAAAAAAAAAAAAAGGGAGAGAGAATTAACACCTGACATTACATAGCAACCATATAAGGAGTTAATTCACACAAATGATGCATTCCTCTTAGCATACAGTACAAGAAACTGTAATCACAAACTTCAGTATTTCATTTTTTTCAATAACTTATCTTCCATTTTATACACTTAGTAAATTAAAATATTTGATAAAAGGAAAAATGTTGGATATAGTGGTGCCAAGCGAGTGAAGCTCAACATATTGAGTCCACACTGCGTGCAGTAGTCTGAGAAATCCCCAACAGATTTTGGATGAGAAGTGGAAGATATAGATCCACCAACAACAGAAAAATACCTTCTTGGAGCAGGATTTGGATTTCCATATAAACGATTTCTGATGGGAGGAAGAGCTGGAGGAGCAATATTTGTTCCAGCAAACTCAATTTTCATGGGCTTCCCATCTAGCTGAACATTGTTGTATCTCTTAATGGCTGCCTCTGCATCCCTTCGACGTGAAAAGATTACTTCCGCAGTTCCCTATATAAGATAATCTTTTGTTACTATAGGGATTTATGGGAACTCCTGAAGCAACTTAATCTTGCCAAATTGCACACAGCAATACAAATACCTTTGATCTTCCGCTCTTGTCATAATGAATTGAGTAACGCTTTATATCACCAGCTTCTGAGAAAAGCTCCTATAAAAACACCACAAGGAAGGCATTAGATTTCATGCTTTCATTCTTTTCATTAGGAAGGGGATATAGCCAGAGAATGCCATTTGACGACTTATGACGTGGAGATCAATTACCCAAAACTATAAAGAGCAGAAAGGGTCTCTGACAATACTCAAGCAGACACAAAACTATCACTAGATAGAAGTAGAAGACACAAAGGGATGCATACATCTATCGTTCTTTATCATGGTTAAACTCTTCAATTAACTTGACAATAGCTAGACGCATATACCTGCCATGTTGTAACATCCAGGGAAAAAATATCAATCTTTTCTTTGTATAATCGAACTCAGCATTTCTTGTTCTTTTTGCATTTCCCCCCTTTTTTGGCAACTACAAATTTCTACATTAAGTTCATGTCATTGCAACAACAGAAGGCTAACTACATGACTTTATGCAATGCAATTTGGCTGTTGCTACATCATACTATACCCTCACACAAAGGGTCTGGAACTCTATTCTTGTCACTGAAAACATATTTAACATCATTAAGCTCATTCCAGGGTCCACCGGAAACAGCCTCTCTACCTCCACGAGGTAGTGGTAAGGTCTGCGTACACTCTACCCTCCCCAGACCCCACTTTGTGGGATTTCACTGGGTATGTTGTTGTTGTTGTTGTTGTTGTTGTAAGCTCATTCCAGGGTAAGGGTGTAATTTACAGGGTACAGTTATAGCTCATTTATGTACTAACATGAGGCAATACCAATGTGAGATATCAGCAACCTACTGGTGTGCATTCCCATTTCTTAATAATGAGCACAAAGAGTTATCCCTTAAGTCAAAGTTCAGTATCATTTAACAAGTTCAAATGACACAGGAACAGTGTTTAAAGCTAATTACATTTAATGCTTTTTCAACATTTTCCTAAATAAGTAGCACTAGCAACTTAACAACACTACCAACATAATTGAACAATTAAGACCCCCAAGGGCCAAAAAGGCAAGCTTTTAACTATCACCTTGATATCTTCATTTGAAACCCCATAATCCAAATTGGAAATGAGGAGCTTAATACCGGTCTCAATCCCGGACACCCCAGGTCCCCGGGCAGACGACGGGGCATGCTCCGCAAACATATCATGGTCCCATGTAGACTCCGGTGCATGAACCTGTAAAAATTACTTAAACCTAAAATATTCACAAACAAAATACAATTAACAAAATGGGAACATTAAACAAAGGATTCCTACAGAATATGGCGCCGGCCGGTTGGAGGCACGGTTAGGGAAGCGACGCCTTGGACCTGGACCAGAGTCGAATCCGGGCCCGGATCCGGATCCAGATCCGGTTGTTCTGGGTCTAGGGTTCCGACTAGTGGAACTTTTGTTCCTTTTGATCAAATCATCGAGAGATACATCCAGATTTGACATAATTTGTACAACAAACTGTATGAAGATTGAGATCTGGATGAGTATCTGAAGGGTTCTGAAATTGGGGAAAAAGGGTTTTAGCCCCAGAATCGAAAGAGAAAAGATCTTCAATTAACTAATAGCTGTATGGCATTATAGGTAAAGATTCTTACACATATTTTATCATTTTATATGTTTTTTCTTATTCTGGAAAGCATAGGGTGTCGTGGTGTAGTTGGTTATCACGTCAGTCTAACACACTGAAGGTCTCCGGTTCGAACCCGGGCGACGCCATTTTCTTTTTGTATAATATATTTTTATCGAAAGGTATTCAACTGATCATCTTGGATCAATATAACTACAAACGATTGGTCCGACATATATAGCTATACTCTTACGAATTGAGCAAAGATTATTTGACTAAATATGTGGCAAATAAAGAATGGATCAAGATGTAGATCAAAAATATTATTCTTTTGTAATACTTGTTAATAAGAATTTAATTTCTCTTTTTCGTTATTTAATTTTTTGATTACTATTTAGTATTTCTTTGTTCGTTATTTCATTTATTATTTTCTGCTTCAACCACTAAATCAAGATTTTTTTATATTAATTGGAGATTAATTATATTGTTGTACACCTCTTTCAAACAAATTCAAATTCATTTTTCTACTAAACAAGTTTTTGGCCACTCGATTTTGATAGCTCTACATGTCGGAAGCATTATTACAATAATAGATTGTTTTTGTAGTACATAAAATACTCCCCATTATATTTAAAGGGATAATACTATATGATTATACCAAAGTAAAAAAAAAAAAAACATTACAGTAGAGTACTATAATAAGACATTGATTAACCATCAGTTAAGCACATGATCATACTATAATATAAATCGTGAATAAATTACTTAATGTTACAAATAATGCAATAAAAACGTGTTTATATGAGTGTGCTTTTACGTAAAATAAATTCTAGCTATCTGAAATAATGATCATAATGACGCACAACTAAACTGTTAGAAATTAAACGAATAAACGATTAATAATATAGCTACTCAACTAGGAAAAAACAAACATAAATAGCTCCTTATTATCAAACAAGAGGCAGTCCGATGTACCAAGTATACCGCGTTAGTAAGATTTGAAAAGGACCATATTTCGAGAGGTATGATGTAGATAACTTACCCTAAGTATAATTGAATGAATACTTACCTAGCTAGCATGTTTAATTTACACCAGAGAGTCGGAGAGATGAATGCTATGTATATTATATATACTTCATTAATTCATTACTTAACCATATTTAAATAATATGTATTCTCACTTCAATTTGTGGTTCTTTAGATTAATATTGCTTAGCTTAAGCAAAAATGTTTAGCCAAAACAACCATTGAAATTATTGTGTAACTGTGATTTGAGTTGTACCTATATATATACTAGCTTCATACAAATAAGTTTATGTCATAATTGGAAAATTGTGTTTAAATGAGTTAATTACATTTATTGTTGTTATGTATGTTTGAGCATTCTAAGAAAACCTTTTTGATTTTGTTTCTCTTTTGGCTCATGATGGTAAACAAAAAGTAATAGAGTAGATAGTTACATATTTGTCTGATCGATATAAAAAAAGATTAGGTAATGTATAAAAATGTATATTTTATGCATATACAAAAATATTTAGAGGTTATTAATTTGATGGATGACTTTTTGTCAATTTCTCGTAAGTAATAATCACAATTAAGTTTGTGATACATGGTTCAAATGAATTAAAGCCTAACAAATATTTTAAGACAGCATCATTGGACTCAAATCAAAGTAAGACTACCTAAAAAATAATCCCAAGCAGCAATCATAAATGATTTAATTCTCATAAAAGTAATGTCTCGATAAGTGAGTCGTTCATTCCATGTGCATTTTATATCTAAAGTTATTCATCCGGTACACCACAAAAATGATCCATGCATACATACGCTTTGGATTGTTCATCCCGTATGCTCTAAAAATTTCGTTCTCAACTTTTTTGATATATATATTTGGCAATAATATATGAAGTACGTTGATCTTTGATTGAAAATTTGATGAAAAAAAGTATGTCTACTTATATTATTATATATGTCTAGAGAGTTAAATCAATATTTTGCATATTTTTCTTTTCAATAAAAGAACTCATCTTGTAGTTTCTTCTTGACAATTAATTAAACAGAAATGGGCAGGACCACTTTGAACATTACACTAATAGATTGAATGCCTCAACCTCAACGATAATGAAACTATGATATCATAAGAAACATTATCGACCTGACTGATTTTTGCTCACATGTCTATTAAATGTTGCATGAGCCATAGGTTTAAGGAAGGGTTTGTGTCAAATATTTACTTATTTGAGGACCAAATGAAAAACAAAAAAAATGTGTTTTTATTTTATTTATTGACTTATTATACTCTATGACTTAACCCATTTGTGTTCCATAAATACTCATTCATGATACATAAATGCCTTCATTGCCCAATTACTCCATTGATCTTTGTTAATTAAATGTAATTTGAAGCGTAATGTCTCTAACCTAGAGTTTGGTTATAGATTTCCAAATATTCTTGGCAAATATTATTTGGATGAAGATTTGGGTGAAATTTCACCATGTGTTTGGTCATAGTATTTGGGAAACATATTTCACTTTTTTAGAAAAATATGATTTATACCCGTAGGTTTTAAAAACTATCAAAACTAACCATAAGTTTGTATTACAAATCAATTGGATCTTCGTTGCAACAAATAACAAGTAGTGTCCATGACACTGGAGCAATGTGGTAGTTTGGAGTGAGTGCAACAAGCATCATTCCATACATCGTGAAGTAGACAAAACACATGACTTTGTTACCCTGAGTCAATTGTTCATCAACAACCATATCATCACTTTCATATTCATTGAATATTTCATCACTACTTTGGTGTTCACGTAAAAAATTATGCAATACAATGCAAACAACTACTATAGAGGGTGTTTTTGTAAAAGATAAAAGTTTGACGTAAAATTTCAATTTTTAAAAGATCCCAAATAATGAGATTTGACCCAAATACTAAAAAAAACTAGTTTTTGGGAATTTGGGATATTTGCCAAAAATATTTGTCAAATAATGACAAATTATATGGACAAAGTCAGTACTATTTGCCAAATTTTCCCCCAAAAATTGATTTGATGATACTTATGCGTATTATTTTCATTTGAATCGCCAAACAAACGTACATGAGTTTCTCAACATTAGATTCTCTAAGTCTAACAAATAATATTCCTACTCTAACATTTGAATTAACAAACAAACGTAGGAGTTCCTCAATATTAGGTTCTCTAAGTTTCACAAATATCCCACTCTAACATCTGAACTGTCAAATAAACGTAGGAGTTCTTTAATATTAGGTTCTCTAAGTCTCATAAATATCCGTACTCTAACATTTGAATTGACGAACAAATATAGGAGTTCCTCAATATTAAGTTCTCTAAGTTTCATGAATATGCCACTCTAACATTTGAAATCGTCAAACAGACGTACATGAGTTCCTCAACAATATTAGGTTTTCTATACTCTGCTTGGATCATCGTTACCCATTGTATTGTATTGTATCGTTACCATACCTACAATGTTTGTTTTGATTGTTACTTAAAATGTATTGTATTATTAAATTTTGTTGTTACGTAACAATGAAAATCCCCATTTTATGGAACAACCGATTTGGTGTGTTCTCATTGTTACTCAATTTATTTTTTCAATTATATCATGGCATAATATTTCATAATACTTTTTCACCCTTTACCATATATTATTTAATTGTAGTCAAACCTCCTACCCTAGAATAATTAAGGATATTTTAGTAAATTTATAAATTACAATATGTCAAACCAAACAATAAAAATGTTATTAAACAACAACAAACAATACAGTATAGCCAAACATTGTATCTACCATACAGTACAGTACAATAGAGTACAATACAATACAGTACATTATGAAACAATGGGTAACAATAATCCATACAGTGTGTAAGTCTTACACATATCCCTATTCTAACATTTGAGTTGCCAAACGTACGTACGGAAATAATATAGATAAATCTCATAATCTTTTTGTTTGAATAAATAAGTTTAGATTCATAAGTGTCTTTTAAGAAATGAGCTTAAGGCATAAAGTTTATTAGATATAAGTAATTTTTTCATGAAAAAAAATAAAAATATTTATAAAAATCAATACATTGCATAATATATAATTATAAGATATATGTATATTAATTTTTAAATTAAAATATTGTTTGATTTTTTCGTCGATTTATTTTTAACAAAACCAAACCAAACAAAATGTTATTGATTTTCTAAAATTTAAAATCCAAGTCAAAACTAAATAAAAATCAATTTCTTTAGTCGAATTGATATATAGAACTTTTAGTTTAAATAAATTTCTAATTAAACCGTGAACACTTCTGCCAAAAGCTATGAGAAATAGAAAAAGGATGCAACTTGTTGTATCCTTGTAAGTTGTAGGAGAGGGAAAAAACATATACATAACAAAGCAAGGAAAAAAAAAAAATCTTGTCTACTCCTATTAGATAGTGTTAACATGATATTTTATAATTCGCGAGCAGAAGCGGAGTCAGAATTTTTAATTTATGAATTTTGAAATTTTATTATGATTATTTTACTTACTAAGTTCTTGATATATTATCTATGCAAAGTCTCTCTGCATTATATCCAGTGACATAGCTACATGGTGGTTAGGGTGTTTAATTCATCGGAAAAAAAATACCATAATATACAAGTAAAATGATATACGAAATGATTAAATAACATATTTTGGACATCCTTTATAACATAACAAACTCTTGAAGCCCATTAGTTTCAGATGCTTGGAATGAGGTAGTACTCACATGTTTGAATCTCACTAGTTTTACTTTTCTGAAAAGAGCTTTTATTGTGATATTTCTAAACACCCTTTATAAAATTTTTGACTCCGCCACTAATTATATCCAACCCCTATCTATATACAATGTGTGTATTTGGTCAACATGTTCTATTTACCTCCCGTGAAGACCAACTAGCTAGTTGGACAAAGTCGGGATGCTGGAAGTTGGAAGTTAG